AAACAAGTACTAGACAATTGATATAAATATTTTTTTTTATAATTCTTTATTGCACCAATAAAAGCAGATATATATATATATATATATATATATATATATATATATATATATATAAAACATAAAAGAAAGAAGAAGGTACTGAAGGTGGTCTTATCGCTAACGCAATCTATTTCAGACAACCAGGAAAGAGAGGTATACTAAAAATAAAGTAAGCGGCACATGAGTGGATATAGGAGAATAATAAAATTTAAATTAAATTTAAATAAAAAAAAAATACACTTATGTAAATAAATTAAAATTGAGTACACTCAATAGATCACATCATTAAGTACACTTAGATGTATACCGGAAAAATAATAGTTATCTGTGTCTACACTAAAATAAACTATCAATATACAACTAAATATAAATACATACATACATATATACAAATATACATACATAAATATACATAATATACATATAAATATTATATAAATAACACACTATACTAAATGTAATAAGCAATTGAAGAGGAGAGGAAGTAAACAGCAAATACAGGGAGAGAAAGTAAGATTTCACTAACTTCTTAAAGATGGCAATTTATTTTTATTAATTTGTTTTACGGCTCTGGATACAAGTTCTTTTTAGCCCAACTTAAAATTTACACAAAAATAAAAATTATTTGTATAAACATTTTTGCACTTTTTATTTACTATAATTATTAAACACAATGAACGAAGCATTACAAAACTATGCCTTGATTACTTTTAATATTCCATGAGAACCGATGACTACAGAAATATCTACCCACATTTCACCCGAGCGAAGCCGGGTTTTCATCTAGTAAATAAATAAAACGTACAAATATAAATTTGAAATTAGTAGGTGTTATTATCGAGTATTATTATGAATTTATATGTACAACATATAAACATAGTAAGTACCTATACGGACTGATTTTATTTGATCACGACGTTTATAGCATTGAGACGGTTTTATTGAATAATCTATGTACTTTATGGGTCTGATTTATATTCTAGTCTATATACTTAAATACCAGAATACTGTAACTACCATATAGTAATTTTTGTAGCTATGAAGTGGTCGAGTGGAATGAGTAGTCATGCTCGCTAAAATGTCCAGACATGTGGCGGCGTGGTGGGCCGGGTCATTGGGCTCCCTAAAATATGGACGAGCGCAGTGATGGCTGGCTCATCTGTCATACTCGTGAACGAGTGCTGCTTGTAGGGACTGGTCTGCTCTTATCACTACGACTGATTTAATCTTATTGTGTTTTTATATTTGAGCATAAATAAATTAGCGCTGGTTGGTAGTTTGTATTCACACGTTTCGACTTGTAAAATGTGAACTTACAAGGATTGTTTAAAAGAGCAATAGGTACACAAGTTTCTTGCTTATTCTTCTTATGATGAGACAGCTTTCCGAATAAGCGATAGATTTAAAAAAGGTTGACTGTTCAAAAGTGTTTAAATTAAGTTTATTTGAATAAATGATTTTCTATTCTATTATATTCTACCAGCTGTTGAGTTTCACCACCGTACTACCCGCCAGAAACTAAAATACCATTCTTATCATCTGGATAAATGGAGGATATTACAGTTTTCTAGAAACTTTTTACCAGGCGCAACCACATTGTGGAATCACCTTCCAGCAATGATGTTTCCGAACCAATACGTTATTGAAACCTTCAAGAAAAGAGCTTATTTCTTAGAAGGACGGCAACGCACTTGCAGTTCCTGTGGTCTTGCGAGTGCTCATGGGAAGCGGTAATTACTTACCATCAGGTGAGCCGCAAGCTCATTTGTACCCTATACTATCTTAATAATATTATATAGACGAAAGTTTGTAAGTATGGATGTTTGTTACTCTTTCACGCAAAAACTAAAGAAAGGATTTTGATGAAATTTTACAGTAATATAGCTTATACATTAGAATAATGCATGGGCTATATTTTATTTTAAAATTTAAAGCGAGTGAAACCGCGATCAGAGTTAGTGACAAATATACGGGCTATTTTTGTGAATTAATATAGTGTACGATTAAGTATGATTTTAATTACTTAATTTAATTCACACATGATAATTCAAGTAGGTGTACAAATTGCCAAATCACCATGACTTATGGTATGTATTTTGTAGACTATGGTGTGATTTCACGGTACTGACACCATGAACTGACATATTTTTGTTAATTATAGTAAAATATAGCCACAGTGGTGTAGCTGTTTAGCATACTCCCTCATACACGGCCTGGTAATAGGTTTAATTCCTGCAAAATACATTATATTTCTATTAGTGATTGTAATAATAAACAATCCTGGACAATTGGCACGGCGCCATCTAGTCCCACAGTAAGCAGAGCTTGTGTTATGGGTACTAGACAACTGATATAAAAACTTAGATATTTTTTTAAATACATACATTATATATATAGAATACACCCAGACCGATACAAACAATCATATTCATGAATACAAATGCTTGGATCGAGCGAGGAATCGAACCCGCGATCTCCGGTACTAAAGCCGTGTACATAACCGCTAGACCACCAAGGTCGTACTATTTTATTATATATATTTTTTAAGTAGTTTTCAATATGCCCATATTATGTATTTTTTTAAAGAAACGTCTTTATTATGAACTTGCTTTGCTATAACTTATTGTATATAAGCTTTACCTAATTTAAAACTAAACTAATTTTGATATTGCAAGCGTTTTCTATTCATTTATTCATTATGTAAGAAAGTAAAGTACAACATGAAACAAATCCAATTTCTTATTTTTAACTTGCATTTGCATAATCCTTCCAAATTTATTCATAACTTAAAAAACATTGAAATATCTAACCAAAATTTAAATTAACCATTATTAAGAACATGGAATATTAACCAGAAAGTATTCGCTATGTGTATACGCAAGGTAGGCCACGTGGAGGTCGACTTAACAGACTTCTAACATTGCTAGTAATAAAACCAATTATTTTCACTAGTAATAAATTTCTCTACTTCGGTCCAGAGTTCAAAACTCTACCAAACTCTACATTTCAAAAAGTTACCGAGTCGCGAACTGAACTTGTAACCCTAATAGATAGGTTATATGCAAAAGAAGTTATAGTTTCATTAAAAAAATCCATATGTCAACTAGTATGATAACAATTTTTGCTGTACCGAAAAATGCGAAAATGCATCAAAAAGATAACTATGACTGTATCCTATAACTATTTGATGTTTAAGTAAATATTTGGGTATCTAAATATAAAAGAAAACGAAGGGTCGTCCGTCCGCTTATTCGAACGAGCGAGGGGAAAATGTGAAAATTTGCCCTCGGTAGCAGCCATGTTGTGACGTCACCGCACACGACACGGGACGGACTTAGGTGACGTGTATTTTTATGATACGTGTGGAGAAAGTTGATTATTTTTAAACTGTCTAACATTGTCTAATATCTTATTATAATTTTAATATAATTATACATTATTGTGGAAAAGAATTCATAGCTTTAAATGAATAATGCAAGTGAATATTTTTTATGAACTTCGTAATTTATTGTTACGACTTCCTACGGCAAAATAAAAATGAAGATTCTTAAAATACAAGAACAAAGTCGTACAGTAACAGTGAGTTTTAAAACTCTAAAGTTGTGGAAGCTTTAAAAATGCCAACCGGTTAATACTGGTAACTGTCAACAAACCGACTGACATTTCAGTAGCTACAGTAAACAATAGCGATATGATTCAAAATAAAACAAAGTCGTCGCGAAAACGCCAAAAAAAGAAGTTAGCAATTGTTCGTAAAAATAAGAATATGCCGCTTAATACGTCCCAGTGTGCGCTTTGATGATGCCGGAGGTTGCTGATTGGCTGCTTAGAATTGGCGGGCGTGGCATGTTTAAGCCCCACCCCCATACTGCTAGGGGCTCTGGGGATCTCACCACCAAACCACATCAGGCGCTCACCGATAGCGCCACGCGTTTACCACGCATGCTTATAACCTACGTTACACACGTGAACGCACGAACCGGTTTTGAAAAACTCAGTGACAATGTGTGGTATAGTGATGTGACTTTATTTCAAAGTGTGGTAATAGTGTTGTACAGTTATCTTGTAATGCAAATCGGATAATAAGTGTTGAAGTTTGAAAAACTAAGTGTCTGAAGCGACGTGAAATCGATTTGAAAACAGTGACCTCTGGTGGTGATACTACATTTTGATGAAACGGCCCGCGTGTTATATAAACATTATGGATATTCTGAATGTAAACAAATCTATCGTGCTCTTATAACAGAACGATATATTTATATGTAAATATGTTTAGATGAAATATCTAATTAACTGCGTAGATAATCCAATTCTTAAATACTTCCATATTAAATTTTCCATTCGAACTAGTTTCTTCGCTCAAGATATTCTTCCATCAATAAAAGAAGAAAATCAAAATACTTAAAATATTATCTATATCAACTAATTCTTTCGAATTTCTCCAAATACGAATAAAACAATTAATTATTATATCACAATACTATTTAAATAATTAGTGATTATATTTTTCACGACTAAACTTAATAAATAAATAAATCTATAATTTTTATAAGTAATAAGATCAAGGCGTATCGACATTATGCTATAATATTTCAAACAAAAAGAGGCAAAAAGATAATCGAGCTAATGTGGCCTTTGCCGCCGGATGGAATAATTGCTGAAACAAGGCCCATCTTCAAAACGAGGTCATTGTCTGAGTTTCCAAAGCAATAACAATTGTATTATTGGAATTACATGATTGATTATTACAGTAATTTTATAAATTCAAATTCAAATCACTTATAATATAATAAATATTGAAAAAAATTATCGGAGACGGTAATAAATATAGAGAAGAATAAATCTCAACATTGCGAATATTATTAAAAAAAAGTGTTATAAGAAAAAAAAAATAAAACGGCAAAGGTATCCTCAAAAGGCCTGGCGTTCTCGGTTCGCGAACTGGACGATTTGAAATCAAATTCAAATTTGGAACACAAATGTTAGTGAGAACAGTGTGAGCTTGGCAAAGAGGCGGAACAGTGGCCGGGGCGTCGTGTCGAGTGGTGAACCCACAGCCGTCAAGATAGCCACAGACTCGAAGCTACAGTTGTGCGGCTGGAGTGGGCAGGCTGGCTACGCTCTGGACGGATGCGTGGACACGGGCCTGCTCCGGCCGCCGCCGCAGCCACACTCCAGCCAGCTGGGCACGGTGTACGCGACCAAGAGGCGCCGCCGGAATGGAAAAAGGTCAGTTCATAACTTCAAACCGTCCTATAATTCATGCATAACTTCAAAACGTGCCTCTATATGTGTAATTCCTCTAACTTAGGCAAAATATGCATTGAGTATGTTTTATTTCATAACTTCAATCAGTTCATAACATACACGGCCCTCTAATTCTTCTTTAAATGTTTTTTTTGAACCTTCAAAACGCGCTTCTATATGTAATTCCTCTAATTTAAACAAAACATGATGCTCTATGTATTTCTCTCATAACTCCAATAGGCTAAAAGATGTTTTATTTCAAAAATTTCCTTTATGTATGTAATTCTTCTAACATAAGCAAACATGATGCTATAAGTATGTTTTATTTCATAACTTCAATAGGTCTATGTGTGTAATTCCTCTAATTTAAGCAAAATATGATGCTGTAAATATGTCTTTAGTTTTATTTCAAAATATTCCGTTATGAGTATGATTCCGCAAACGAAATCAAACACGCTTTAAATAAAACAAATCTAGACATTCTAGATTAAACTCAATATCTACAAGACTAAATATACTTTTGTAATAACAAATTTAGGATAATTGAACAATACGGAGTGTAATGGCTCTGAATTTCCTTCAAATAGCGTTGACTGTACGAATTATAAACTATAAAAAATAATAAGTTACTATTACTAACGAATATCAAAACTTACGTCTGTATAACATAGCTGTCGCCCCATTATCTTATGCGTCAATTTCCCTGTATTTCCTATTGGTCGTAGCATAATGTTATATAGCCTACATCTCGACAAATTGTCTATCCAACGCTAAAAGAATTTTCAATTTTTTATAACCTACTTGTAGAGATTACACCGCACATTCTAACTTACAAACATTGCCTCTTTGTAATAGTAGTTATATTTAGTTTTGTTTAAAGCTAACAGTAAGAAAAAATATACATAAATAAATAACATCAAATCAAAATATTCAGATGATATAATGACGACCTCGGTGGTGTAGCGGTCAAGCACACCGCTTTACGACCGATAGTCACGGGTTCGATTCCTCGCACGGCACAAACATTTGTATTCATGAGTATGATTGTTTGTATCGGTCGGGGTGTTTTCTATGTATAATATGTATGTATTTACAAAAAAAAATATCATGTATATGTATCAGTTATCTAGTACCCATAACACAAGCTCTAGCTAGCTTAACTTGGGTCTAGATGGCTCTGTGTGGATTGGCCTGAGATTATATAATCTTATGATATGTCAAATCTACCGTCAGTTCTGAGTGCTTTTGAGCTAAGGAGAACTGACAAGAAACTTAGCTCTTACCAACCTGCCTACCTACCTTACCTATAAAGTCATAGGCCGTATTTTTTGATACAAGATATAATTAAATATGAATATTTAAGTATTTAATTGATTTTTCCTTCCACATCTTTACATAGTATAAAATGAAATCGCTTCTGCCGTCTGTTCGCTTATATCTATTAAACTACACGACGGATTTTAATGCAGTTTTTAGCAATAGATAGAACGATTCAAGAGCAAGGTTTACATGCATAATACATGTACATTCATGCAAAGCTAGGGCGGGTAGCTAGTAAAACATATGAGAGAATATCAAAGTTTTATACGTTGTGATACAGAGTGGTTTCAAAAAGCATTTCAAAAACGTATCAAATCGATTAGCAACAATTAATAATTGTAGAAACTTTATAGTTTCAACAAGAGCCTATATTCGGCGAATATTATATATTTGTTATTGTATTTTGAGTTTTATATCCAAAGTTCTAAGACTTGTTTTAGCTATTTATGCTTTGACACTAAAATTTTGGAATTCACAAAGAAATAAAGTTACTAGATGTGACACTTCTTCATTTATAATTTATAATAATTCACGTTCATTCATAATAATAATTATTTTGTTATTCTAATAGTAATTATTAAATAAAGTTAGTAGATTTGAGTTGAAAATAAATGAATTACTTAATAATATATTTAACCAGATGAATGTTTTTAAACAACATGTACTATATTCTTCTATTTTAATTGATATAAACTATTTAACATATAAGTATAATATTGAGTGTTTTAAAGGGTATTTTCTTATTAAAATTACTATATAATAATGTCCCTGGATAATGAACATAACGCTAACTAGTCCCAAGCTAAACAGAACTTATGTTATGGATACTAGACTACTGATATAAATACATTATTTGTATACATAATATACCAAAATAATAAAAAAAAACCAGAATCACAAGTAATCATGAATACAAATGTTTGTACCGGGCGAGAAATTAAACCCGCGACCATTGGAAGTAAAGCAAATGCTTAACCGCTAGACTACCGAAGCCGACAAATCGTAATCAGGTAGCATAGAATACATATATATAATTTATAAAATTAATACTTGCATATCGTAAAATCCATTATCATTACATAGTATAAAACAAAGTCGCTGTGGCTGTCTGTTCGTCCCTATGTATGCTTAAATCTGTAAAACTACGCAACGGACTTTGATGCGTTTTTTTTAATAGACAGAGTGATTTCAGAGGAAGGTTTATATATATAATACATGTACACCCGGGCGAAAATGGGGCGAGTAACTAGTTTAACATAATAGTCATATAATTAAAAAAACATATTAAGCTTAAGTAATATTAAATTATATGACTACAATATTAAATAATTAAGATTTAAATAAAAAGAAATACAGTGAGTGAATCCCAATTATACAATTAGTATGAACTCATCTTACTAGTAAACAATTATATATAATTTATATGCCATTATACTATAATATATTTCCTTGCTAATTATCTTCAAATAACTTTATATATGACTAGCTTTTGCCCGCGGCTTCCCTCGCGATAATTTATCCCCTTAGGGGTGAAATTTATGAAAATCCTTTCTTAGGAGATGCCTACGTCATAGTAGCTTTATGCATGCAAAGTCTCAGCCCGATCGGTTTAGAGTTGACAAAGTTTCATGCAATCCATCATCCCTTATTTTATCCCCTTGGGGGTAGAATTAATCAAAACTCTTTCTTATCGGATGCCTACGTCATAACATCTACCTGCATGCCAAATTTCAGTCCGATCCGTCCAGTGGTTTGGGCTGTGCGTTGATAGATCACTACGTCAGTCACCTTTGAGTAATATATATATATATTTAGATAAAGTCCCTCAATATTTCTAAAGTTAAAAATAATGAAATTGAAATATGTTTCTTGAATTACATGTATATGTGTTTCTTTATCACCATCATCATTATCATAATCTTCATCATCTGATTCTTCCTTATTGGTCGGCGTAACATGTTTATCTCTTCTATTCATCTCTGATAGGTAGATAATTGATTTATTGCCAACATAACACAAATAATATAATTTACAATAAGACACAAAATAAGAAATAAATAATAACATAGAAGTTGTCAATAGGAGCTGCCTCAGCTGTTGCTGATATAAGCACAATCTTAATGAGGTTTTTTTTATGGATGATAATGGAATGGTGCACCCGCCTGCACTAACAGTTTACGCTGGCGGGGCACCAGTGGAGGATGATAGGATGAACATGAGGTCAGGTCAGTTAGCTCATCGTGACAAATTCAGCAGGAATTTATCACGATGGTTTCCAGGGGGAACCGCGTGGAGGTCAACCTGACATGGTATATTGCTAGTTATGGGCCCATGAGTCCACATTACTAAGTATCCCCTTCCCCCCACCTCACTGAGGTGCACCTATACAGTGCTGGTGTTCAGGCAGACCCCATTACTCATAAAAAAAAACTAAGATGCGGCTTTTTTACTACATACAGATACATATAATTTAAACACAAAAAAAAATTTAATAAGATCTAGGATACACAAATATAAAAATATATAAAATGAATTACAATATTCAATGCTCATAAAAACCAAAATCAGTTTCAATAACAGTAACAAAAGGAAAAAAAAAATTACAAAGATAAAAAGAAAAACCAATCCACCGCTATCACCGCTTCTTGTTCGCAGTCATCTCGTTATTAACTCCCTTTCTTACCATATCATCTTTCACACAGTCCAACCCTTTTAAAAGGATATTTCATCTCTTTCCCTCACTATTGATAATTGAATTGTTTTCCCTTACTCATAAATTTATTTATACTATCGCGATATTTTTTTCATGGCACAATTAATAAACTCACATAAATATAAACCGTAACGAGTGTGTAGGAGGAAGTATAATACATTTTATATATATAAAAAACGTCCATTGTTTTAATGCTAACTATTGTGTGATCTGAGTGGTAATTATTTTAATAGCTAATAACACCTTTGCCGGTGGTAAAAACTTTATTGAAACTCTATCATAGGGAGCTGTAATTTTTCTGTCAAAACATCCCAGTAGTAGTGGCTCGATTTTTTAATGTATTGAATTTTTTGCCTATGCTGACTATTTATTATTTATTTATTAACTAGCTGTACTCGCGACTTCGTCCGCGAGTAATTTAATTTAATTTTATTAAAATAAAAAATTTTTTCTAAAATGGAAGTAGCTTAAGTTACTCCTTATTGCATTAGCTACCTGCCAAAAAAAGTCCCGTCAAAATCAGTCTAGCCATTTCAGAGATTAGCCGGAACAAACAGACAGACAAAAATTATAAAAAATGTAATTTTGGTGTATGTACCGTATATATATTCATATGTATGTAGTAAAAACGGTTATTTCAATATTACAAACAGACACTCCAGTTTTATTTATATGTATAGATGTATAGATTTTTAATTACAAGCATATACAATAAATTTATAGATAATAAATTAACAATACACACATGAACTCTGTTTAAAGAGTATAGCTATTTTGTAGATGACTCTTTTCATATTTTAGTCAGTTTTTTAGGACGGAATTGAAGTCTACATAGCTAGCTTAGCTCCTACGTCTACATATATTAGTATAATAATTAAATTAGATTAAATAAATAAGTAACCCTGGACAATTAACACAGCGCCATCTAGTCCCACGGTAAGCAGAGCTT